GCACACACACACATTTTTTGTCAAGTTATGTTTTTGTAACATGAGAACTTAGATATTTGATTTTACATGAATAAAAATTATTTTGTTTTTGTATTTAAATTAATGTTTTCTATATTTTACAAAAGGTGACTAAGCTGATCTACAACTATCGCTGTCATGAGGCTCTGCTCGCTCTGCCCTCCAAGCTGTTCTATCAGGGGGAGTTGTGTTTTAAAGCTCCGAAGGATGTCGTGGAGTCCCTCTGCCAGTGGAAGAACCTGCCCAAAGAAGGCTTCCCACTCATTTTTCACGGTGTCAGGGTAATGAAAACTTTCCAGGAAAATGTCTGTGCTCTAGCAGGTTTTATCGCCTGTCTAATTAGCTCGTTTGATTTCAGAAAGAAAGTTTTCATCTACATAAAGTTCCTCGTTGATTAAACTCAGCTGTAAGGCTTGACCCTGTCAATTTCAGGATTGTAACCTTGTTGTTGTTGGGGTAGATGACTCCCATGTAGTTCATTTTGTAACTCTCCCCCAGGGCACAGAAATGAGAGAAGGCAACAACCCATCGTGGTTTAATCCAGCAGAGGCGGTGCAGGTCATGCTCTACTGCTGCCAGCTGGCCAAAAAGCTTTCCAACCCTGTTAACACCTCTGACATCGGCATCATTGCTCCTTACAGGAAACAAGTATGACTGCACCCATCATTGTGATATACTGCATAGTGGTTCTGACTTTCTTACTTTGACAAACAATGTAAATAAATAGTTTGAAATTTGACTTCAGGGTATGATAACGGGGTTCAAACATAAAGATCTTAAATTGTCCCTGTTGTCATTTTGCTATCCAGTGTGAGAAGATTCGATTGCTGCTGGGTAAAGTGGGTCTGTCCAACATCAAAGTGGGCTCAGTGGAGGAGTTCCAAGGCCAAGAGTTTCTGGTCATCATCATGTCAACGGTAGATTCAAACACTTTGGGTAATAACTGTATTAAACAATGTTTTAACATAACTAGATAAATTGCATGTCCTGTGAAAATGCATTGACTGCTTGTTGCTGAATGAGTTTTGCTAAAAAATTGCTGATGCAGCTGAAACCTGGCTGACATTTGCTGTAAGCAAAAAAAATATTTGAAGTTAGAAAAAAAATGTAATAAAATACTGAAATGAGCATAAACATCTGAAAGGAGAAGAAAAGCAGCCCAAAAAAACTTAACAAAAAAAATACTCAAGTTGATGGACGGAGGCTGAAAGGAGAATAAAAAGATGAAATTATTAGCATGATCCTAACTTCCGACAGATCGGAAGAGCGAC